TTCAAAGATGCATGTAAAAAATTATAAAATGATTTTTTTTTTTTTTTTTTTTTTTTTTTCCTAAACTGTTGCACTTTCTACTATTGCTTTTACAGTATGCTTTTGTCTGGTCTTTTTCCTGAAGACTGCTCACAGATAAAATCAATGACTATATCCAAGTAAACCCACTGATAAAATACATTTCAGTGTCATAACAAAATCTGTACACCTTCATTACACACACAATAAACTCAGTAACAGAGTTAAAACTATAAATTCCTGGGAGCACTAAACTAGTTTGGTCACAATAATAAAAAACATAATAAATAAATAAATACGAAAACACATTACCCGGTATCAAATAGGATCTGTCCATTTCTCTGTCCATTTTTTTGTTCAACATCATAATTGCTGGCAACATCCAATCTGGCTAATCTCACAAGACCCCTCAACATAGTCTCCAGCAAACACTGGGTGAATAAGGAGTACACACAAGACAAAAAAGGGGAAAACATACATACACACACACATATATATGTATATATATATATATGAATACTGTATATACACAGTACATGACCTCCCCATCCACTTTCACACACAACCTTGCATGTTCTCTCTCTATCACAAAGGTACAATATCATGAGAAGTGGTAGTGAAAACCCCCTGAGAACTGCTGTCATTTATATAATAAATACAAAAATAGTCGCAATGACACCACTACCAGCCCCCACCTCACATGCTCACTGCCATCTCCTTTCCAACTCCCACTTCTACGGCCTTATAGAAACCATAGCGTAGTTCCATTTTTTGTCTTTTTTATATTACCTTTTTTTCAGCATTTTGGATTTTATGTTATAAAAATAGTCATGGTAACTGCTTAGTACTATGTAAGCATATGGCTGCAAATGAAACATCATGTAAAAGATTTCAGTGCTACAAAAAAATACAATATTCTCCACAATTCATCAACTCAGGTTTCAATTTTTACTTGATACAGTTCCTAAGATTCTTAAAAAAACAAAAATAAAAAAAAATAAAAAATTGATAAATCAATTCCTTACATAATATCCTTCAAGAGCTTCCCTAATCAAATATAAATATCCTTATTCACAGAAAAGTGATATAAGAACAAAATAATATATAAATATCATGCACAGACCTCAAAATGTCATCTTTATAGAAAACAGTAAATTCTATACCTTTTATACAAAACTTTTAAAAAGTAGTCCACATAATTGGTGTCCTTCAAAAGAAATTCAACATACAAGTAACATTCCCATGATCAAAAGATAATAACAATAACAATAAAAATAATAATAAAATAATAATAATGCACTTATTGAGTTTCTCCAAACCTTCTACCCTTCCTTTCTATTCTGACTTTGCCGGAGCTTGAGAGAGTTCCTGCAAAATAAAAGTATTTGCTACCCAATAGCCATTTGTACTGCTTTGGTTTTAACTCTTTCTGACTCTCTTGCAAAGGCTAAAGGAATAGCATTATCACACATCACAATACATAACATCTGGTGTATGCCTCTGTGCATGAGCGTATGCCTGTGCATATGCATGTTCATTAAATATCCTTTATCACTTGCTTTCCGTATATGTGACATTTAGTTGTGTAGTTCTAATCTTCAAGCAAACAAGATCCTTTTCCAAGGATTATCATTTTTTACATGAACTTGAACAAAACATCAACATCAGTTAATTGATCACAAACTCAATATTTATATATATATTCTTCCTACTTACAGAGACAACACTTGATGCAAACTTGTTAATAACAGAAAACCAGTTTATTTCTAATAGCACCTTATACACCAAAAACTATGATAATGTCAAGAGCTATTTCAAAATTAGCGCTTATGCAAATGCTTTCCTCATGTTCCAGCTGCAGCTTTTTGTATTCAATTAGTAAGCATATGAATCCCTAACACCTAAAGCCAATTCTTACTGGCTTCACAAACAAGCAACGCAGGCAAAATGTGCATCCTTTAGCTGAGTATTTTCTCTAAAATTTATTTCTCCTTTTTAGAAATACATAATTTGGAAGAGGGATCTTGTCTGAAGTAAAACCACCTGGCACGTACAACAAAATTTAAAAGAAAAAAATAATAACAATAAGCTCAAAATACACTGCACACCTATGTAAACCGCCATTTCAAAAAACTAATATCAGCATAAAGCAATGATGCTAACATGTATACAAGATTTTGGTTTCCTTATAGGAAGTAACACTTACATAGCCTATATCACTAAATCCTTCTACCACAACCGAGAAAAGGCGACACCTCAAAAAACGCAGTATGGAGGAAGGGAAACATGGTATGATAACAATGGCACAATGAACTATGTAGACATGAGCTGTTGGGCCCTGCTGAGGTTGATGATAATGATCACAAAAATATCAGTGATAACAATTATAAACAAATACTATAATAATCATAACACTAACAAGAAGAGACAATCATCAAAAACTTTGACAACAATAACAAAAATAATAATCAGGAGGATGACA